GCTCCCGCTAATGATATCTTATCCCCGTCGACCCCGACAAACCAAAACCCCCTGCAATATGCTGGCGGAAATAGCCCTTACTTCGCTGGTACGACTTCCCTTACATTTCCTGGCGATAGTGGACCTGAATTGTATTCCTAGGCCCCAATGTCTTTGGTATCGACAGTAGCGTTCCTGATAAGTGCTCGGTCCAGCAGGCGGCTTATGTCGTGAGGCACGGCAGCCGGTAAGTGCTCCACGATGTGCTGCGCCCAGGCGTTTGAGCGCTAAGCTTGAACTGCAGCTTCCCAGATTCTGGCTCCTATGAATCATGGGTTGGTATCAAGGAGAAGGTCTGTTAATTATGTCACAGTAATCTGTCAGGGCACAGCCATTCTTTCTAACCTCCGATACTAGATCCGAGCTGCCGTCAATAGCACCGGCTTTGAGGCCCGCGGATCACTGGCCTTCATCCCAGAATGGACTCCAGTTTTGACCAATCCAAGCCTGCAAATGTCTCAAGAGTCAATAACAGGATGGAAGGAGGTATCTGCCCATTCACGAACATCAACATGGTATGAACACTAATTGTGTGTAGGCGACCGATCTGGGCTACCAGCTACGGGCCCGATGTAGGACTGCAGCCCCATGCTCATTTTCATTCGTGGCTAATGACATGACAGATCCCCACTTCTACGAAGATGGAACCCCATTCTATGTATGGGCGAATGCTTACCAGTATCCTCTAAATGAGTCGCGAGTCGTTCAGACCGCCCGTGCCTTCGTTAATGGGTACCTCTACGAGTATGCCGACACCTACGGCACTGTGGTCAGCGTGAACTCGACCGGCTCCGTCAGCGCTATCGGCAACTCCCTAGGGCCGTCTGATATGTGTCCTGCATTTTTCTCAATTTCCAACGGGGGAAATAATGTTACCGATTGTAAGCCTAGGGGGAACTCCATCCGTGCGACCGGGCTAACTCCGTGACAGTCGACGCTACCTGGACTCCCAAGGCGCTCGAACGCATCAACTCCCTCGTCAGTGGCAATCTCACCTTCGACGAGAGCGACATTCTCTTCTTTCCCTATATGTGCGGATACGAAAGTCAGATAACCGGACGTCTGAGCCCCTGGTGCGGAGTGTTCACCGAGGACGAGCTACGCAACTACGCGTATTCGCAGGATTTGAGCTACTACTACAAAGTCGGCCCTGGCTCTGTTGGTCCGGCCAAGGTGCTCTTCTTACCTTTCCTCAACAGCTTGATGGACCTCTTAAGTAAGGGTCCGGGTCAGGTTGGAACCGATGCGGATGGTGGTAACTTCACCGTTCCCAACCTGATCATGGCCTTCTTGAATGACAATCAAATCGCGGAAATGACCGCTGCCATGGGCATCTTCGATGACGAGCCCTCCCTACCCATCGACCAGCTCCCCGCCTACCATCTGTATAATGTTGCCAACTGGATCACTATGCGGGGCACTGTTGCCTTTGAAGTGTTGAGTTGTGAGGTCGAGTCGCGACGTCGAATGAACGACAAAACCTATATCCGCGTACTGTTCAACGACGCGGTCTACCCCATTGCCCACTGCCAAAATGGACCAGGCCGTAGCTGTCTGTTGTCTGATTATATCTCCCTTCTCGGGAAAAAGAGCGAAGCTGCGGGGAGCTTCGACGAATATTGCAATGTGACGGTCGCAGATGCCCCTAACCCGGTCGCGGGCGCCAGCTTCTTCACTGACCTGAGCCTCGACTTTTTAACCTTTGTGAAACCGTGATTGTGCCATCGGAGCTACTTTGTGGTGCTGGAGAGTATGTCTGAAAATATTTCTGTATAAATCTTGTGACTTTTGAGTATATATGAAGTTCTACTTCGATCATTGTCGGTGTTTGGGGTCTTCTGTCAAACTTGGCATAGCCCGACCGTGAAAATTTGCCCGTCAATACCCGGCTGTGCATACCTCACCTCCTTCATTCGAAGCATATTAACATGGTTCATTTTTATTCTCATGAAGAGTTGGCTCTTTACTATGTAGGTCAATATCAACTGCCATTTTTGTCTGCCCCGTGATCCTCACATCAGCGAGAGCAGCGGCCAGACTCGGTATCAGACCAAACCTTTGTTTCGTACGACGGCGCATAATCGGGTGAAAACGGGCATGCAGGATAGTCCGTGGCCGCTTGTTGTGTGGCGATGCTGATTGATGTGCGTGCAGTCGACTGACGATCGGAGAAGATGCTGGCTGATTCTGCCTGGAAAGATGAGGTACTCCGCACGCTGCATGTCTCCTCATCCCGCTCATCGCGTGTCTTCGCATTGACGTTAGTCGCGTTCGTTGTCGGTTTCTGTTCTCGATGCATTGCCTCAACTTCCGTCTCGAACTCGGCACCGTCCCTACATCGCCATCGAGCAAACAGATCATTCTGAATCCAGATTACTTTCCCCAGTGCACGGATCAGCGCAACCCGGAAGGGCAAGGACATCTTCTCGCACCCCATGACTCCTTCGATGAGCACATCTTGAATATAGCCGAGACACGCGCCGATGTGTATGTATTCCACATCAAAGGAGATCATGCGGTCTTTCCCCGTATGCATACGCCTAGAGCAGTTGTCAGTTATCAAAATCCAGATCATTAGGCCCAGTCCGACCTACCCCACTTTATCGAGGTACGCCCAGAATTCGATCTTGGTCGGATCAGAACATATTCGAGTGATGTACCAGCGGAGGAACATTCGGCGACATTGTATATAGGGGCTTTTGAACTCGGGATACTCGTCAAGATCCTCCTCCGATGTTGTGCTGCGGGTCTTGAATACACGAGCTGTTATATCTGCCTCCAGGAGCTTGGAGTATACGCGATCGACAAGGGTGGGTGCTAGTGCTTTGATGTATTTAGATCCTTTGTTTAGTGCAATAACATCATCTGGACCATTGTGTCAGTGATATAGACTGAACTGCCTCCGTCGTGGAGACATCTATGCATGAGATACGGGACGACTGACCGGCAGTAAAGCCAATAAACTGTTGCAGATAGCGAACGCGAGCTTCAAGATCTGTATAGAGGGCTTTGCGATCGACATGACGCGGCAGGCTGCCTAAGCCGTTGTAGTCTCCCATGTTGTATACTAAAGCTGTGGATTGGTTCTGGTACATCTAAAGCGACAACCTAACTTATCGCCACATGGCACTCCATCCGGGGCCTTACTTATAGCCTGCCATGAAGAACCCATGCAAGGGCGTCATCCAATCTTTCCGTTGATGGAAAGTGATGCATCCACCTTGGTTGCCGTCCATGCGCATTTAGGGTTCCGAGCTGCCTTGTCCGCGGTCGGGTCCAGCAATGACAAGCGAATCACCAGGTCACTGGGAACAGGTATCCCCGCTCTGTGGCTTCTACTGAAACTTTGCCACTGATGATACTATCATATCGCGTGTGTGACAGATCCGATCCACTAGGAGACTGTTCAAGTTATTGCAGAAACTATGAATAGCTGCGGCAGAAGAGTGGCCGAACTCCCTCCTGTCTCGGCCGGATTCCCAAAACAATCCTCATCGTCCTTTGACATTCTATTAAACGTCAACCCTCGGGTATGATATGTATTCTCTATATCCGCAAGTTCTGATTAGTGTCATTGATCGCGCATTTTGACCCCTCGTCTGTCCTGTGACACACCAAATGCGTGCAAATTATTCTCTCGAAGCTTCTCCCGTCATGGCGGTCTAGTCCAGAATCCGTGCGAGAGACGCGAAGATCCTGCGCGTTGCGTTAGATCCCTGTCATTCGCGTGGCTGAGAACCGTCCACTTGCAGAAACGCTTCGCTTCTAAGCGATGCTCTCCAATTCTCAAAATAAAGTTTTCTTCCTTGCTGTGAGGAACGACGTGTTCTGAAGGTTCCACCTAACTGTCTTTTGTGGACACGGATAAGCCATCAATAAAAACACAGCCAATGCAGCCATCAGCCTGGCCATGTTGCCAGGTTACATGTGCTACCGACTATTCCGATAGGCCCGAATTACCTCCCCCCTGGTTTTGACATGGCAAAGGGGTCAATGATCTCATATAGAAGCGATAGTCTCCGTATGGAGTACAACTAAATCATGTCGACGCATGAAGCATCTGACGGCTGAAGGAGCTTGCGATATGCAGAACTAATGGCTTTATTTTCCTCTATTGCATGGCCTATGTCTTTGGGTTTCTCTGTTAGGTTTAACACGAAGGAATTTTGACAATCCTTTCCTAATTGGTAAACCCCTTGCAAAATGGGCCTCCATAATACAGCTCGTTACTCCGTACTAATCTCCACAATCTCAAATCAGAAGTGGATGCGCGAGATAACTGCTGATCTATCTCACGTGAGGACACACCATCGTAATAGGAATACAACAGTGATTATCAGCAATAACTACAGGCTATGAAGAATGCAAGGAAGGAATAGAAGATTCCATTCTTCTTCCCGTCCTCACAATTCATCATACATTAGTTTCCGCGTTTTAGGCAGCGGTGCGAGCAGTCAGCTGTCCCATTACACATTATATCTAATGATGAGAATCGATGGGGATTGCTGGTTGATCGTAGCGGGAACAATCTCAGGCATTTTTTTCAACCACCCTAGAAAAAATAAAAATAAAAATAATATAAGATAATAAGCACTCCCTCAGACGATCCTGAATGACAATTGTGGAACATATGGTTCAATTGAAAATCGGGCAGTGAGAGGGATCTTTTACGCGCTCAATCTACCTGCAGCTGTAGCCTTGCAAAGCGCCCCCAAATTGTCAGACTAGAGCGTGGGTAATTCGCAGGGCTGGGAGCCATATCCACCAATGTAGGAACGAAGATGGCATGCTGACCTTAGGTACACAAGGCTGAATACCGGTGATTCCGTAGGCTTAGATTTTTCTTATTTGCTGCCGACGGTGCTGACAAGGAGAGAGCAGGCCTCTCCTTTCCCAACCATCCAACCTGCTGGTTAACAATTCACTCTTCCAACCATCCCGCTTGTACTTTCTTGATTGCCATCTCAGCTAACTTCACTCTCTGCGTCAATCTCATAATGACCTCGCCTTCTGCAGATGATGGAGTGACAATTGCTCTCACCCTAACAACGAGTTCGCCGACTCTTTCGCTTTCCTCTTCCCACTCTCTTGAGGTGTTTGTCTGCGCCCGCATCATCCAGTCCACGTGCCCGGGCCGACCAGTCGCCATCGCCGCCGACCGGTCTGTGTTTGCAGGCGAGGGTTTAGAAATCGGCGTTTTTGGGCTTGGTGCCGTCTCTAGGCAGGATCCATCGCGAGTCATCGATTTTGGAATTATTAGACCGCGCTATCGTGACGACTTTGAAGGGCCAAGCTTGTCTGAAAGAGGGTACCGCCTCCTCACCATCCCAGCCGATGGTACGGGCATCGTGGTCCCTTATGAAATATCGTTTGATCGGCTGTTCAAACATTCTACACTTCGTCCGGAAGATATTACATCCGGGGAAGAGTTCGAGATTAAAGTCAACCATGGTCGATGTGAGGTCTTGTGGTGGTGCTGGGGAGATGTAGAGGGAGACCTCAAAGGGAAGAACCTACACGCATGGTCGGAAGGAGGGAATTATTTGTGCTCGTTTGATGAGCGGCCGAGTGAAAAGGTGATCGAGGGAGGGAACTACATCCTGGGAGGGGATGTGGACAAGTTCGAGGTAGAGGATCAAACAGGGCCAGTCGCTATCAGGATGATCCCCTAACTTCGGTAACATCCAATGCAACCTATATTATGAGCACATCCTCAAACACTTGCTGGAAGGTTTTTTTGCATACATCTTGCCTTGTCGGGAGGGACCATGTCTGGGATTGTTTGGTTTGTTCTGAAGGCAATCGGCAGCTATATTAGTTTTGAACAACGAGCGTAGATGGTAAGTGCAAACACTGGTTGAATATGGTCCTCGCTTGGTAACTAGTCCACCGGATGAGGTATACTCGAATAGGATAATCATATGATCTTTCATTGCGCTATTGGATGCTAATCAAAAAACAGATGTTGGCTCCAGGTCAGAGCCGCAATCCCTCGGCTACGCAGTCCAGCACCTTCGCGCGAAAGTCCAGAGAAAGTTCCGGATCACTTCCCTTGCGAAAGTCGCCACTAAGGCAGGCCACAACTGCAGAGGCATAAGCGCTACCCATCTCCTTGGGTAGGTCACGTTGGGCCAGCGATGTTAACGCAGCACGAACGTCGCGACCTTTAGGTAGTTTGCGAGTACGCTGGCCCTCTTTAATGCGTGTTTCGAAGAGGCGAGACACTGTCTTCCACAACCCAATCTCCAACAGAACCACGCCTAACGCGTATATATCATGGAGCCGGGAATATGGTCGTGAGGGATCGCCCTGACGGTCGGGGTGGCGGTAAAGGTTAGGTTCAATTTCGAAATCACTACGCATATCAGTCGCTCCTTCGACTGGGCGAGCATAGCCCCAGTCGCTGAGGAATGCGAGAAGGCGCGGTTTTCGTAGTCCGCCTTTGGACGTCGCGGTTGTAGTGAGGGTCAGTTTGGACATAAGCTCAACGCCATTGTCTTGCGTCTGCTCAAATAAAAGAATACCTCGACTCCAAATGTTCTTGTGCAACCAGAGCGAACCGTGGACGTTGAGAGTGGTTAGTACGAGGCAGTGCGCGATGGCGAAGCGATCCTCAAGCGATGGCTTTGTGGGCCGCTTGGTCTGAGGATCTACTTGGTTTATCAAGCTGTGCAAGGTCGTCAGGTTGTTCTGCACTGGCATCGAATTATCGTCAGTATCGTGAAGTGGGAGTCGGTACGCAAAGACGGTCCGCTCCTTCTCTGCATCATCCTTGTATCCCAGGCACTGGAGGGAGTAGATCGTTGGCTGTGACACCTCAGCAGTCTCCTTCCCCTCGGAAAACGTGGCATTCTGGAGGAGCCAGGCCAGGTCCCGCAGTGGTGCCTTCAGTTCTGCGATTTCTTGTTCATCAAGATCATCATATCGCAGACGACGGTCATAGGGGCGAAATTCCAGGACTACCGGAGTTGATTGATCCTGATGAGTCCACGAACCCAAGTGAAATCCATCCGATGAGCTGTTGGACTCAGTAATGGTACCCTCGAGTTCTTGAAAATCAGCTGGTGCATGAAGAAATGCTAGTTGCTGTCGTTTGACCACCTCTTCTAGTCCCGTTCCTTGCACTTCGGTCGCTGCTGGCGGCGACTTCGCTGCGGAGCCATCCGTCAGGGTGTACAAGGCCTCCTGGGAAAAGTGCTGCATCAGGTCTCGCAGACTGTCTGTCCATTCTTTGTATTCGGCCAGGACACCCAGGAGTTTCTTCTTATCGAAGAGTGCCCAGTCGTAACCTTTCAGCTTGATTTCCTTGGCTTTGGCCTTCGTCCGACCGAGGAACGACTGTTTCCATTTTCCTCCCTTCGGCAGGGCATCGTCGCCGTGGTCTAGTGCTGCAGTCGAGGCATCCAAGATCTCATACTCTTTCACCAGAGCGCGATATTCAACCAACACGCGACCCATCTTCAGCAAGAGGTTACATATTGTCTCTCCGACCCAGTCGGGAAGCTGTCCTGGGAGCAGAAGACCGCGCTTTTTATCCAAGAACCGACGCTGGAAGAACTCCAACGATGTCAACTGCAGGTCCAATCGAAGTTGAATGGCGGCCCGATCATCGTCATAGGCTTTGACGTCTGAAATGACGCCCTTGATGAAGATGGTCACTTGGATGACTTGCTGGACTGCAGTGACTGCGGTACCATAGACATCCATTTTGGCCAGCCTCGTATGATATGTTAGCGTTTACCTAAAGACATAGCAGATCAGCAAGGCAACTGGCAAGTATTAATATGCGGGCTGCCGCCAGAGCCACCACGCAGGGGCCCGAGACGAGTCATGTCGGCGGGTCTGACAGGTGTCCTAGCGCTGACGTGAGGAACCCCTGCGTCCCAGCTATACTGGAAACAGGCTTATCCTAGCTTGGAAAGGGAAATGTTAAGAGGATCATGAGGTACTGTCCTCGTATTCAAATGGAGACGGGGAAAACCTGATACAACAACCATGAACCCTTCTATAATCGTAACCTTTTTTACCCTATCGGGTGCCGCTGCTCCCGCCAACCAAATATTTAACATTTTCGGTGACGATTCTGCTTTTTCGACCCTAGATCCAAATTGTTAGTGAGTAGAACCGTTATCCGGGTTAAACAAAATCGTGATATTGAGTAAGTCTATTGATCATTTTTGACAGCTGCAGAGATCCTAGGCGATGGTATTAGTGCCCGAGTTTCCATTTCCTTGCCATTACCCGACCGATAAGAATACTACTAGGGTTCGTTGGAGCTGCTCAATGTCATTGGTTGTGGGATACTGTTTCCCCCCCACATTGGGTTGTTTAATTGGCCTCAAGATAGGAAAGTGCGGCCCGAGTAATAAACGAGCAGCGTGTTACTTGGCCTTCGTCTGTGATATGGCTTGAAAAGGTGTAACTATTGACAGCCTATTACCTTGTTGTTCATTCTCTCTCTTTTGCCGTCACTCCCCGCTTTCCCGGCGGCTGGTCTTCATTTGTGTTGATCTAAGTGCGCACAACAAGTCAATCACCGAGATCGATTCCCCACATCTCTTTCAATCGCCAATATCACCACTATGCCCTCAATCGAAAAACCCAAAATCCTTCTTCTCCCTCTCGCATATCAAAACTTCCTCGATGGCACCTATTCCAGACTCTTGAGCAGGCTCCTGTAAGTGGCCACCGTCAAGCGCGCAAAGGTAAATTCAGGGAATTCTTCGGGGTTATGGTCTTCCCTGGAGTTATGGCGATTATCATCGCACAACATTCCAACTCAATCCTTCCGGTCTCTTGCCTGACAACGTTGAGCCATCTTCAGTGCCTAAGCCGGAGAGCATGAAGGTGCTTCATGTCAAGTACGCTCCATCCGAGGACAAGCTCTATATTCCGACTGAGGGTGCGGTAAGGCAAAGTCTAGTTTGGGCTCCAACTTATGTGGATCGGACTCAAGCTGCTGTGGTAGAGGCAAGGCTCGGACAGGGGCCTATCTATTACTGTGGAGATGTGAACGGGAAGGATGGATCAAACCAGCTGACGTTGTCCCTTTGCGGGTTCAAGGGAGAGTGTGCGCCCATGTGAAGAATGATTCGGATGGTTAGCGGGAACACTTACGCCAGGTATCTACACGCATCCGCTACTATGGTTAAATCTTAGAGAAAGGAAAGGTAAAGTGGTTGGACAACAGAAGAGAAGAAAAACACCACGATACAAGTCGAATCAACAGTACCGCAAAGCAGCAAATCAAACAAGTTGAACCCGATCCAGCAATTAAAATGAAGAAAGGATAATATCTAGACTATAGCTCGTGACCTCGCGGCGAATAACTTCACTTTGCCACAGCCACTGCCTCGTATGAGTGGGGATAGCGTCAGCGCTAGCGGTAGTGCGAGTGACGAGTGCGATGCACACGGCAAGGAAGGGAAGTCGATCCCGCTCTCATCAACAGTTCATTCTGGAAACGGAGGAGGACTCGTCTTTTAGCTCAACCATCTTTTCATTCACGCTATGGATTTACTCGACGATGATGGCGCTGCACTACTGCAGGAGGCTCTCGATACCCTCGACGAAGATGGCATTAATGAAACGGACCCGTTCGATTTGGATTTCGATGATAGCGGAGCCAGTATTTCTCCCGACGACCTCCTCGACAACACATCCGAGCCCCCAGATCTCGACCCGCTCAGCTTGGTTGACGGCGAAGAATCCCATGATGGAAACAGTTTATCATCCACTGATCTCCTAGAGGAAAGAGTCACGGCAGTGCGGAATGGGGAAAATGCTCTGATGACCTCGGTGTCCGACTTTACAAGCATCCTGTCGCGAACCGGTATCCATGGACCTCGTCATCTGCAAACCTACAATCTCAAGCGCCGTGCAGTCAAGATTGGCAGTGGCGGACAATTTACAGTATATAAGGAGATCCCCGGCCGGTTCTTTGGCAACGAAGGCTTGGTGATCAAACGTGTCAAAGTGTTTCTGTCCCGTGAAGGAAACTCCAGCTTTGCCTCCGGCTCGGACTATCGTCAACGACTACGGTCTTTGGAGCTGGAAGTACTCGCTTTATCCAACCCCTACCTCCGAAACCACCGCAACATTGCCAAACTCGTCGCCTGGGGATACGATTACCCTTATCCAGATACTCCAGTGCCAGTATTGTTCGTGGAGGAGGCGCTGATGACGCTTACCGACCTTCTAAAAATTGACAACGAGAGGTTACTTGGGTCGCAACCCCAGGATGTTAAGTATCAACTGTTGCTGGATGTAGTCTCAGGTCTCGAGGCGCTGCACCGGCTGCATATCGTTCATGGAGACGTCAAACCAGACAACATCTTAATCTACAAAGATTCTGCAGGGAATGAGAAAGTCCCGCTTTGCGCCAAGATCAGCGACTTTGGGGTCTGCGTCGATTTAGAGTCCCCTGAAGACAAGCTCACTATTGATAGTTACTATGGAACCGAGGACTGGCGGGCGCCTGAAGCAAGCGATTACGCCAGGTGGCAGGGCGACGCTTTCAACCCAGAACTTATGTTCCGCTTCGATTCCTACAGCTTGGGATTGCTCATTCTATCCACCTTCATCAATCGTGGTGAGCCAGTCAAATTGAAGACGGCTGGAGAAGAGCCAGTCGAGGTTGCACTTTTCATGCTGAGAGAAGATGCGACCATCACTGGTCCACTTCGTATGCAAATAGGCAAAGCTCTCCGACAGCTGCTGGCAACAGATCCTTGGAAACGCAGTCTGGCAAGTCCTGAACTGCTGAAGCTGGATACACCTGCATTTTCATCCTGGTAACTTTGGATACCGTTCACTATCTGACATATATTGGAGGCTGTTGACTGACGCACCCCAAGGCTTGCCGTGGCACAGGATACTCGGAGGGTCACTGCTAATGTCGGCATCATCGACCCGGCGCACAACCAAGGCCCCAGATTTTGGTACCGATTGGATCCCTCCCTCCTTGCAGAGCTGGAGCAGCAGTTTGCTGAATCCCAGAGCGACCTGTCTTTGCGACATGCCGGTGACGTTCTGCTGGGTATGGCCCAGTGCATCACCGGAGCGAAGCCGTCGTACCTTGATCGCCTGCTTACCTACATCACCGAGGCGGCCCGAAGTGGCTATTCGCCGGCTCGAGCAGTGTACGCGCAGCTCATGCATGCCCATGGCCAGACACCGGCTTTCAATGAACAGACACTAGATAAATGGTTGCTTCAAGCTGTGGCTGAGGGATATCTCTTTGCGTCACCCTCATCGAGGGTCACAGAGGAGCAGCTGCAGACTGCAAAACAAGCGTTCCGGGATGCAGGTGGCTTTTGTACAGATTCCTTCACCCGGAAACCTGCCATCCTAGCTGTTGCTCGAGATAGAAAACGAGCAGAGGAGTGGCTTACAGCGAACAAGAGGGTCGTTGATATCAATGGTAATACGCTATTGCATGTTGTAGCAGCACTGGGATCTATCGACGCTGTTCAATGGCTAGTTGAAAATGCTAAGATGCCAGTTGACGTGCCGAACGACAATGGCGAAACACCGCTGTACAAGGCCAGTCAAGCTGGGCAGACAAACACGGTCTACTATCTTTTAGACAAGGGTGCAGCTTCCTCCATCACGACCCGAAGAGACAAGCTGACCCCCTTGCACTGGCTATTCACGTTTCCGGAGTGCTCTACAAGGAGCGTTGCGACACGTTTTATCCAGGAGGGAGGCGCCGACGTTAATGCTTTGATGGTTCCGGAGAGAACCGAGGAAGGTGCATACGCGGCACGAAGGAACTTCATGGCTCATTAGTAAGTCCTCCTTGGTTACTGTGTAACCTTGACATGCTGCGGATACTGACCAAGACGTACAAGCCCTTTCGAGCTACCCATGGGGACACCGTTCCATTGGGCAGCATTCGCTCGTAACATGCCAGCAATGGAGGTCCTGTTAGATCTCGGTGCTGATGTCAATGCCACATATTATGACTCAGACAATGCGACCACTGCCCTAGGTCTTGCCAGCTGGTACGGAGACATCGAAGTAGTACGATTCCTTCTATCAAAAGGAGCGAACGGCGGAGCAAAGGACGCACGTGGAAGAAACATGCTTCACCTGATGACCTTCCATCAGCCAGAGTATCATGGTCCTCTACGGCAGGCATGGCATTACTGGATACGACACGGAAGTTGGAATAGTCATCTCTATCAGATGACAGATCTGGTCGCCGCACTTACCCTGGCGGGCGCTAGTCTCGAAGACCAAGACGAGATATATCCTCGAACTACGGCTGTTGTGAGAGCGGCAGAAGATGGAGTCTGGAACGGAGGTGCATTGTGCGCTTTGATAAACGCCGGTGCCGATGTTGAAGGTCCTCGAGGATCATCGAAGGATACTGGTGAGTATTTGTCTGGTAAAACAAAGCAACCTACATGAACTAATATCTAGTTTGCTCAAGTTCTCCATCAATGGGCCAGGATCACAGGCCCACGACTTGCCTATACGGACTCATACCTCTACGTGCTGCAGAAAATAGTATCAAAGATGACATCTCTAGACATTCGGAATGATTTCGTCGAAGAGACTCCTCTTCACTTACTGGTTACGATATACCACTCCGAGGAAGAGTTCCGGTCCGCCTGTGATATCTTCTTTGCCCATGATCCCCCACCAGACGTGAATCTGGGCGATCGACAAGGCCTTACTCCTCTGCTAATAGCCGCGGACACGAACCAAGTCACGCAGGATCCCGAACAACGTTTATTTTATCTAATCGCCAAAGGGGCTGATCTCGGAGTCCGGACCAGAGAGGATAAGGATGTCTTCTGCCTCTTAGCCAACAACAAGACTCTCAGCGACCAGCAGAGTCATGATATTATTTATCGGTTACTGTCACATCTGGCGGATCTTGAAGGTTGTAGTATCCCACAGGCGTACAAAAAGCACTACCTTCCGCACGAGGGTGCCATCCTCACCCTCAACACGGCGGCGATGGCGGGAAGAGTGAAAACCACCTCCCACCTACTAGATGTCGGACTCGACGAGGCCATCAACAATCCGATAAACCTGAGAGACCCTACTACCGTCCTGGACAGCGCCATTTCATCAGCAGCGCGGAGCCGACACATGCATCTCGATCTTCTGGCGGCCTACAGTCCAGGGGCCCCACGAGCCCGTGCGCTCGCGGCCCAGACGGTGTACGATCCGCGTCAAGGACCACCGACGCGCGCTGCTGAGGCTTACACGGGACTCCCAGAAGTCCTGCAGCTCTTACGCGCCCGTGGTGCAAAGCGGGCTATTGAGCTAATGCCATCCACTCATTCCGAAGTGAGTCCGGATCATCCTGATGTCTGGGATATCACCCAGATGTACTGGATTGGGTTCGCCCCGGGAACACAGCCAAATAGAGAACGCTGGGGGGCTGTTTATCAGCTATCTCGTCTACCCTCGGTAGGCTGGCGAGAGACGGTCGTCGATGGTCTCAGAGAGATGTACCAGTTCGACTTGTGGTGGCCCGATCTAGCCATGCTTGAGGCTACCATCAACCTCGTCAATAAGCAGGATAAGGCCCTCGCTTCTGGTACAGTACCGATGTCGCCCACGGTTTCTTCCGATACAAGTACGGAGGTAGTAGACGTTGAGCTGCTTAGGCACATGTTGCGGATGCTCATTACCGCAAGACCCAACGCCGACGATGTCCAGACAACTGATGAGATTAGTGATGATTCCACGCCCATGACCAAGTGGATCAGGATTCGCGAGGGGCGAAAGTATGATCGCAGTCCTGCGTCCTCGGGTGAGCAAATACCCGAAGTGGAACTGGCGTGGAGAGACACTGGATTCCGGCTCGGTCAGAAGCGCGTGCGTCAGGTTAATTAAAAGAAGATAAGTACCCGTATGGGCGTGATCTAGCATCTCACATTCGTCTTGCAAATAAGATGATTAACTTAAAGAAAATTCCCAATTGCAGTATGATACAAGGTTGGGTGAATAATCTATGTACTCAAATATATACAGTCAATAATACTAAGATAATGGTTCATGGCTTCGTGGAAGGAAAGTTGCCAGTGCCCAGAATATCTCCATCGCTTTCCTGTCCATTCAGAGCGCGGTCGATCCGGAACTGCGTCGTCTTGAACAGTCGAGGCATAGCCGTCTCTTCGAAGGGGATCTTCTCCACTACCATGCGCGCAAGCTCCTGTGCCGATTTCCAAATCACCGGCATGCCGTGACCATTCAATCCCGCCAGGATAAACTGATCGTCCTTTCCAGGCACAGCTCCAATGTGCGGGTTCGAGTCATACGAGTATCCCATGACACCTGTCCAGATTTGATCGACCTTCGCCCCGCTATCCTCCCATCCACGGTACGTCCGCTGCATGTAATCATTGTAATAGTCCTTGGCTGAGTCAATGAGAATAGTATCGTCGACATTGTTGTACCATTGCTCCTTGTATGAGCGGAACTTGGCGGCTGCACCACCGACAACGATGCTGCCATCGGGACGAGGGATCAAGTAGGAAAGGGTGTTGTCTTCGGTGCGGTTGATGTAGGAGTTGTTCAACAGTGGTGCGGTCTTCCCCTCTGGCACCGTAATCCGGCAGCAGATACCCTTGCAGGGCACAATATTCTTTTCGTACTCGGGAAGCAGACCGGCCACGTAAGCATTACTGGCATGCACAACCGTTCCTGCGTGCATCTTTCCTCGTGATGTTTCAATGGTATAGCCGCCCTCCGGGCTGGGGGTTATCGATGTAGCAGGGGTGAATGTTTGCAGATTGACCTTGCCCGTAGCGAGAACGGACTGGAGAATGTGTAGGATGAATTTGTACGGCCACATGGTGCCCGCCGTGAAGGAGGCGCAGGCTTTGGCACCTTTGACACCACAGATCTGTTTGGTCAGCATCCGCGACTGCATTTCGGGACTGATTGGTACTTACTCCCTCCACGTTCTTTCCTGTGTAAAACACCACATCATTCATATACTCGAGATCCAATGACTTCATGAGCTCATATGTGCCCTTTGCCTTTTGCGCCGCTTCCTCGTTACACCAGACATCGATGGATCGCGCAAGCGTAAAGTCACAGTCAATCTTCTCATCCTCAACGACCTTCTTCAAGGCATGCAGATTGGCAATTTCGAATTCAGCAATTTCCGCTCCGGCGCGAACACCTGCCCGGTCGACGTATGTTGGAATGTGGCCGTAGAAGTCCGGACGGAGATGTCCGCCATTGCGACCCGTCGCACCGGAGCAGGCTCCCCGGGCCTCTAAGATGGTGATGGACTTGACCTTCTCCCCGTGGTCACGCAGCAGATGGTATGCAGTGCTAGCTCCGGCGTAGCCGGCGCCGATGATCACGATGTCCGCGTAATCGGGGAGATGCTCAGTTGAGCGGTGATCATGCAATTGATGCGGCTCATTCTGCCAGAAACATTCGCCGGGGTTAGGGACGGGGAAACAGCCAGCTGTAGCCATGATGAAGGTCTGTACAGTCACAAAAACGCTGTGAGAAGCGGTTAAGAAATGAAAAACTGGAACGCGACCGTGTTTTCTGGGCGGACGATAAGGGAGTCTTATCTGATGCTATCGCATCGTATCTGATTCCACACCGGACCGGACTTTCCTATCGCGGCCTAGCGCCAATCTTATCGGTCGCGCCGGGACTGTCCCCTTTGGGCAGTTGGGGCCGGTAGGGAGGGATGCACTTGGAGAGACAGCGACACGGTGAGGAGCAGGGCTTCACGATGGATCATCCCTGCGCTGGACCAACGAGATGATGGCAATTTGCAATGCGGGGAGTTGGGCATCAGACATATACAAGGTCGCCCAATGCCAATTCCCAGATCGCATTCATAATTCTGGCACAGGGTAGGTTATTTCATACACATCCCGGCCGCATCATGGACGGTTCCTTCAGTTCAGAGAAAAAGACCCCCTACCAGACGGATGAAGAGAATGGGGACCTTGAGGCCGTACCCGGCCACCTCGACGAGGCCCAAGTCTTTCAGCAGGGCCTGCACCAACGACATATTCAGATGATCGCCCTGGCCGGGACAATTGGCACAGGGCTGTTTCTGAGTTCAGGTCGCGCCATTGCTCATGCAGGACCGTTGGGAGGGTTCCTGGCCTACAGCATCATGGGGCTGTTAGTGTCCAGTGTGGTGTTTGCGGTGGGAGAGATGGGTGCCTTGGTGCCGTTGGCCGGCGGCGTGATTCGCTACGCAGAGATCTTCGTCGACCCCGCCCTAGCCTTCGCCAACGGATGGAATCAAATATATTCCTACCTCGTTTCGATTCCGTCGGAAATTGTCGCCGCTGCTGTGGTAATTGAATTCTGGACGACCATCAACAATGCCGTTTGGATTACTGTTTTTGGGCTGTTGATGTTGATCACGGCCCTGGTGTTTGTGCGTGTGTATGGTGAGCTTGAGTTCGGTTTCTCCATCCTCAAGATTATGCTTGTGATCGGCATCAATATCATGGCCCTCGTTATAACATGTGGCGGTGGTCCAAACCATGTCAGTATCGGGTTCCGCTACTGGCGCGATCCGGGTCCGTTCGTACAATATCTGGGCATCGGCGGATCCTTGGGACGGTTCCTCGGATTCTGGACAGCCCTGAACAGTGCGCTCTACTCCTACTCCGGTATCGAAAACATCACAGTTGCAGCATCCGAAACGCGAAACCCACGTCGATCCATTCCCATGGCCGCCCGTCGCATCTTCGTCCGAATCATACTCTTCTACGTGTTGACCATCTTCATGATCGGACTGGTGGTTCCCTCCGACGATCCCAACCTGCTCGGCTCCTCAGGCACAGCCTCCGAATCTCCCTTTGTCATTGCGGCGCGCAATGCGGGCATTAAAGTGGTGCCTTCGATAATCAACGCGGTGGTGCTGACGTCGGCTTGGTCATCTGGAAACTCGAACATGCTGGGAGGATCGCGCGTGATCTACGCCATGGCAGCAGAGGGTCATGCACCGAAATTCTTCATGCGCATGAACCGGTTCGGCATTCCGTATGTGGCGGTGACACTATTGGGAGTATTCATGGCGCTGGGATACATGACGTTGTCCAGCTCAGCCAGCACGGTCTTCACTTGGCTGCAGGACATTGTGTCCATCGCGACATTAGTCAACTGGGGCATCATTTGTATTGTGTACCTTAGGTTCTACTACGCATGCAAGAAGCAAGGGATCGATCGTCACAAGGAATTGCCGTGGGCGGCGCCGTTCCAGCCATGGAGTACATGGATCACGCTGGTGCTGTTTTGCCTGCTGTTTCTAACGGGCGGGTACGAGACGTTTATTCACGGTAAATGGGATACCGAGACTTTCATCTCTTCATACTTGAATGTCCCCATTATTTTTGTGCTGTACTTTGGGTACAAGTGGTGGATGAAATCGAAGATTATTCCGCTGGAGGATGTGCCTGTGCGGCCATTCATCGAGCATTACCAGAAGAACCCGGAGCCAGAGCCAAAACCTAAACGGGGGCTACAGCGATTGAATATTCTATGGGGGTAATGTATATATAGGTGTTTTTATAATGTTCCATAGCATTGTGTAATTAGCCAGCAGTATTCTCTCCTCTTGTTTATTCTCAACATATATATTTTCACTGCTAGGAGACTTCCGTGAAGCCTGTATGCGAGGTACTGGATCCCACATTGCGTTCTAGCAAACAGCCATTGAGCATCATAGTAGTACTACATAGTAAAGTTCCATCATACACTAGTCAGCCTAAAGCAATCAAAACTAGTAGTTCCGACATCCTACAGTTAGTTCGATGTATTCTCAATTCAAGTTGGCTATCAAAATGTGGTGTCAGCACGATAACTACGCCGGCTATCAACACGCCTTATCAACACGTTATCAAGTATCAGCTGCTGGTCGCATATCGCCAATTTCCCCTGAATTAACCTGCGCTTAGACCTACTCTAGTCCCCGTCTAGCGCATGTCAGCTGTATCTGCAAATGCGACCGGCCCGGCCTACTGAAATGGGCGAAGCTGGTGCCCCTCTCCCGGTATCGGCGGGCACCCACCACATCACAACTAGTGAGTACTATTTGATGCCACGCAGTTCCCCGCGATAACGCGTCTACCCCTCAATAACCGCGATACCACACAAACCCTTCTCCCTTCCCCAAACCCTCAATTACTCACTTCTCACAAACACACAACACAAAAAACATGCCCAACCACGTCGTCTTCGACGTCGTCGGCACCTGCGTGTCCTTCGATGCCTTCTACGCCACTATCGAGCGCACGCTCGGCCCCCAACTCAAGGCGCACAACATCACCGCCCAAACCCTGGGATTCACATGGATGACCAACGCCGAGCTCCAATTCACCTTCCTCTCCATCTCCGAAAGCTACAAGCCCTACAAAATCGTCATCACCGAACTCTTCTACCAAACCCTCGCCATGATCGGCATCTCCGACCCCCACAGCTTCGCCACCCCCGAACAACGCGACGCCTGCGTAGCCGGATACGCCGCCCTCGAGCTCCGTCCCGGCGCGCGCGAATGCTTCGCTAAGCTCCGCGACGCCGGGTTCACGGTCTGGTGTTTGACGACGGGCGATACGCAGCGGGTGCGCGGATACTTTGAGCGGGCGGGCGTGGACATGCCCTTGGAGAATTTCCTGAGCTGTGATACGGCGGGCGTGGCGAAGCCGGCGTTGGCGGCGTATCGGCCCGCGTGGGAGAAGTTGGGTAATAAGGACGGGCAGAAGTGGTTTGCCGCGGCGCATTTGTGGGATGTCACTGCTGCTACGAAGGTCGGGTTCCGCGGCGCTTATTGTACGGTTTATGAGAAGGAGGGGGCTTATAATGTGTTTGATGCGCCGTTGGATGTGGTGTCGGAGTCGTTGCCTGAGATGGCGGAGAAGATTATTGCTGCGTCGAAACAATGAATTGATGGTATGGAATGAGTATGGTACATGATTATTGTAGTGTAGTGTAGGGTAGAGTAGACTATGGAAGATCAACATGCGTCCAGATCGGATCTAAACTCGACCCGGCCAGGAACTCTTCCAGCACTTGGGTCTCTGTGCGGGTGGGCCAGGTCGCCGACGGCGATAGATTGGCACCGCCGAAGATGGAGAGATCCAGGGTTGGATCAAACGGGGGCAGCTGATCCATTCCGTCCAGCGGAACCGTCCACGGCTCGACTGTGTCAGGGTGCGGTGGGGCCGCTTCGGATGCAGGTTTTTTGCACGTTGTTCCCCAGTTTCGAAAGGCTTCGTAGTCAGATACCAGGCCCGTAGATTCCGAAGCGGGCTCCGGTCGCTGGGCTACTGTGTGTAGACGCGCGAGGGATCTCTCCAATGCTTCAAGTAGGGATACCTCCGATCGTGCAGAATCACCTGCTGCGGACATCTCCCGGAGCAACGCGAGTCCCTCCCGCATGGGCTGGCGCAAGGCGTCTGACAGATTCTGCACGGAGAATGCGATGAGCACCAACAGGGCGGCTCGACACGCGCTGTACTCCAGATAGGACGCTCGTGCGAGCCCTGGTCCGTGATCGCGCAGCTGGCGACAGATCTCCAATGCCTCCTGAGCCGCTTGGATGCAATCGCCGATGAGACTGTCTCGGTCGGAAGGCTGGAAGTACGATTCCTCCGAAGACACCCGGGGATTCGCATTCGGATGGGCAGCAGACTCCTTGCGGAGAAGAAATGGGCGGCCGATGAACATACGCAGCAGACATGATTCCAAACACAGGTGCATGACGGCGCGATTCGGTTGCTGTCCCACCTGGACTGGGTTGACGAGCGTGTCAGAGATGCCTGCCCACCAGCGATTCCAGGACTCTTTGCGGGCTATTAGCTGGCCTATGACGACTGGCAGCCCTGCTGGTTGGGCGTGTCTCAGACGGGATCTGTACATTGATCAGTATGAGAATTACTACACAGGTGGTTGGGTGTCGCACATGTCATGGAGAAATTCCTCCAGCCAGTCAAGCATCTGAATGGAAATAACTGCACACTGCGGGCTCCAGGCGGACTGTGTCTGGCCCATGTCGGCACGAGCCTGGGGGAGGTCTGCATCCACATCCCCGCGATGCACGGACAAGGGGCGTCCGTGGAAGATCGAGATTAACCTACGATATATTAGCGTTGTTTAGCAGCAGCAGTGGACATCACAGACCTCTCCAAGGAATACGCGGTCCACCAGACCCGGTTCCGCGTCTCCATCATGACCGGGCTGAACGCATTCCGGCGGCATTTCCGATGCATGCCGTTCTGCATCGCCAGACGGACCGCCAGATTCACGTAAATGTAACCAAGCCCAGAGGCATCCACTGGAAGAGCATAGAATCCGAGTAGTAGACATGCCTGTACGCTCTCCAAGCAGGACAGCTCGATTATTTCCGGTAATAGTCTGATAGACTGTTCATAGAATCGCACCCCGATATCTTCCTCGGAGAAGGACGTCTGATTCTTGGGATCTCGATCACTAGGGGACTCCAAATGAGCGTACTGAGTTCCGATCGCGAGCACAGAGAGCAGAATGCTGGCGACAGCGGCAGCCGTGTCTCCGAGACTCGCGGGGTCCGTGTATAGTCGGTGGACGCGGTCCAACAGCCAGTCTTCATCTACCAGAAACCAATGTGTGGCGGCATATTTGAGAAAGGTCTTGACAAGGAAGCCAGTAATCGGACGAGGGGGAAAGCATGCCAGCGCTGCTGATAAGTGTTCGTTGGTCTTGAGATGTTGGGCTCGCCAGTATCCTGAAACACGGTCGGGGCTCTTGGTCCGCATGCGACTTTGGATGCGCTGCTTGATGCGCATAGAAAAGTTCCAGTAGGAGAATTCTCCCGAGAAGTCTATGAAGCTTAGTTATGATTCACGAATAACTACGGCCAGAGCAAGACGCACGCGTAGTGGTGTCACCAACCGGATCGATAGTACAGTCCTCTTCCTCCAGAGCGAGCCCAGCCGGACTAGTGACTTCTGTATGATCTGAGCCTTTGCTGGTAGTAAAGGAGTTGGCCAGACGGGCAAGGCTCTTGGTGTCGAGCTCGATGCCCTCAATTGTATGCTTCAAGATTTGCTCCATGTACCTGCATCGGTCCAGCAACTCCTGTACCTCAGACTTGGCTGGCCGTGTTCTGCGGTGAATAATTAGCGTGCCGTTGTGCCCAGATGGCAGATGAACTCGCCTGGGGACGTAAACGCGAAAATCTCGGGCGCGGGATGCGAGGGCTTTGGATTCACAGGGACGTCGGAAATGGGCGCATCGTCGACAGGGGATTCCTCCTTCGCATTTTTCCTTCAAGCGACGACATTCGTCGCATCTGCAGTGCTATTAGTGAGCTGGTTATCTGGAACAACCAAATTCGTGGATCGTGGAGATAACTTACGCGCGTGCAGACCGACGGCCTTCTGCCATACCGTTTAGGTGTATTTTACTGAACCGATGAGAAATAAAGAGGCGAATGTGTCAAAGCACCAGAGACGGGATACAATCTGGACATATACGCTAACAGCTGCTCCGATGCTTCTCCGCACGCGATAAGCTGCGATAGACAACCCCCGCAAGGGCCATCCTGCTGACCGGCACTTCTCTCGCCGCGGTTGGTCTGTTATCGCCGCCAGTGGGTCGGCTGGAAATGCAAGATAAGCTGTTCCCCACAAGCTGTGCTCTTATTCCCTAGTGTACTGACGTCTGCTCTGAGGAGCAGATGAATGGCTATCTGGCTAGTGTGACTGAAGATTATTAATATATTATAATACGTACGAGATGCAGAATCAGTTAATTGAGGTGTATAAGGGCCCCAAACATCATCTTCCCCTCCGCCTGGTCCCTCATGCGGAAAAATCACAAATTTATCAGCGATTGAATCACTCCGTGTGTCACAGCAGTTCATCAATCTGTCGATACATTAGTCCCTATTGATAGAGGCGATGGCGTTCCAACAAAAGGGCCCTTGCGACACGCCGTGTCCGACTCGTCGGCGTGACTACTGTTGACTCGCACAGTTTGAGTGAATACGATTTTGGATTGCTCTACCTCCACCGCTTCAGTCTGTGACGGTCGGGAAAACAGACGAGGCATCTTGTCGCGCAGCCGTGTCAAGGAAAGGAACAGTGGTCGCATATTCGACAGGCAAGAGGCTGTTATACCCACGGCGGGCTCAATGCAGGTCCACACACTGGCGGGTACTTGGTCGTCTGTTATGGTGTATCTCCTGTCAGTAAAGTACATCCAACTCAGTTAGACTTATTTAATTCTTACATGTAATATCGCTGCCGGACTTTGAAAGCTCAATTAGTGTCACCAGGCGTACAATATCAAAGGCAAGCGTTCTAATGATGAAATATCCATGTCAGCAACAGTATTTCGAACAGCCAGGAGTGAGAATGCTCACAAAGCACCAAGGCAGAAGATGCCTGTTAACATAATCTTTTGCGCACGCGGCACCTGTAGGTTCCAGACGTGTTTCATCGGCAACGCCAGGATGACGGCGTCAGTCACGATGTTCGGAATCTGGAGCCCATAGTAGAACTTGGCAAGGTCGATGCATCCACCGGGAATGGTCGGGTTCCAGAGCTTCTCAAGTGGAATACACACGACGCCCCCAATTAGACATACTCCAAAACACCACAAGATGACAATTGTCCCGACAGAGTTGGCCGCTAGTATCATCGGTCGGATGGAAAAGATTCGCTTGTATAATGCGAGGATAGAGAGCTTGGTGAATGCGATGCATAGTGTGTATAGGAAGCTGCCACTGGCTAGAGTCTGGATGCACTGTCAGCTCAGTAGCACAGAGGTACAAGCAGTGTGATATCACCAACCTTTAAATACACTACCAAATCCGAAGGAGGAACGTATACGATGTGAGTGCCCAGTCCGTTATACAGCACTGCCATTCATTAGTCAAAGGGGTTCCGGTGCAGTTGTCAACCATACTGGGAGGTTACGCACAGACAACTCCAGCCAGTGACACTGCATATTCGAAGACCTACCACCAGCATCCACTGTCAGCACTACGTGGACGAAATTTGAGGATACTTAAAATCAGGACGTACCAATGCCACGATGATCAAGTAATCATCGAAGAAGACCTTGGTGCCCGTGATCTTGCGACAGTACAGACGCAGGACAACTGACACCGTAGAAAGGATCAACGCAAAGCAAGTCGCAGTAATCACGACATGCCGCAGGTTGTCATGGTCATATCCAAGATCACCAGTCTCAGATGCCGCCATCGTGAGTGAAAGTCAGCTATGACAGGGCGACTGTCTAGTGTAGCAGAGGAGGGTGATCTGCCTTCAAGACAGTGGGCAACCCCAAGCTAAAAGAGATATCATTTCGCGAGATTCAGGAGTGTCAGTGGTACTTGAATCTACATCGCGATCGCAAAGGTGCTGATTGATGTCATCAATGATGGTTGCAGAACCTCTGCTGCAGCGTATTATTGGCAGCCATGGCAATTAGTACAGCCACCCGCCGATCGAGCCAAGTAGGGTGTCGTGATTGAAGGTACACTCGCTCAAAATGGCAAATTCTGCATTACCTGTCAGCTGTCGGCAAATGCCATCCATCAGTTAGCCCCCTTGCAGGAAAGCCACGCTCAACAATTCCAGGTCAGTGGTTTGCGGACCTGTCACATTGCCGAGCTAGGACTATGTCTGATATCATCAGCGACCGAACGGCCCACTCAAAGTAAAGTTCATGTTTGGTACCTAGATCATAGCCTGGCAACAAGTGGGAAAAGGAAGCGCTTTGTAGTAGGGCAATCCCTCAATATAAGTGAGGCTAAAGACAAGTTGTGGGATCGAGTATCGATTTGGCGACTTGCTATACAACTCCACATTGGGCCCGGTCTACCCACTGTCGATCTTTACATCGGCGAGAACTTGGCCCCTAGGGAGAGGTGACTTATGTTACACAATTCATTCATCCCCGTTACCTTCCACAAAACCCTTGGGCAAATGGTGTACTTATAGGAGCCTAATAATCAAATGTGACAGGAAACAATCGGTCTCGGCCATGTGGTACGGCGTGCGATATCACTTCTAAAACCAGTTTATCAACAACCTATTAGAGCAGCTATTTGACTTGGGCCGAAATGGGGCGCAAGCTCGAGAGCAGAAGTCCCGTTCTACGAAGTCATCGCACGCAGCAGCTCTTAGTTAGTAACATAATTAGATGATCCCACAATGCTCTCAATCTAAACAACAAGCTAGGCCAACCATTCCCTAACCCACTTTCTCAGCCACTCAGCCCGTACGCCCTCCACCTCGCATAACTTCTTACTCATCTTTGCAGTGTGCACGGACTCAAAGACAATTGGTTGAGTGTGCTCCGTCTCTAGAGCCTCAAAGAAATCCAACAGTTTGGCAGCGGGGTTCTGCTCCAACAGTGCCTGCAGCTCCTTTCCACCCAACCCTTTGCCATTCTTAGTATCAGCCGAGAAGCTAACACTGGCTGCCTCGATGTCACGCCGGACACGCTGTACCCACTTGCGCAATGGGATGGTTTCAATCGTCTTTCCAGCGTTGTCCTTGCCCTGCGCGAGGAGCGCGTCGGCCACGACTGGCCGTATCAAATCCCAGGATAGGGAGTGGAGATTGACGGGATGGTAGACTTGGACCGCCCGGGGCGAACCGGTAGCAGAAGGGCAGCCATGATTATCGGCAGCACCAAGAGCTAGCTCAACTAGTACTTCGGCTAGAAGATCAACAGGTACCCAGTCTATCCGATCCATCAGACCCAGGGTATCGGGAAGAGCCTGGAGGTGTCGTGAGCTCTGAACAAGACTCGGAAACCACTCCGCACGGTTCCAGAGGCCGGGAGATCGCACAGCGCCTGCGACTTGGCCTACTCGAGCGAAGGAGAAGGATGGGGCATCTCGTCCTCGCTTGGAATCTTTTTGTTGCTCTTCCTGCTGCTTTGTAGCGTAGTTAAGCAGATGTTCGGCAATGTATTTACTGTTAGCATAGCCGTTCGGGGCGGGAGTGGTGGTTGTAAGAACGGTCTCTGGTAGCAGGCCAGACTCGCTATTACGATGGCCCATGACCGAGCTGATGGATGAGAGGAAGAATAGATGGGGAGCTTGTGGGCTGCGGGTCGCGAAATTGATCAGGTTCGCCACGCCCTGCATGTGGGGTTTGAAGGCTGCTAGTGGAAGGTTGAAGTTCACGGTCCAGGCATTGTGGATGACCAGCGTGGCAGTTTGCTGCAGCTGGGTGTAGACATCGGGTTGTAGACCCATTTCGGCGGCCTGGCTTAGGTCCGCGGTCCAGAAGCTTAGACGGCCTTCGTTGTCGGCCAGTGGGGTGAGGCCATAATCCTTGATGCGGTTTGGCTGTCTCTCGTTAGCATCATCGCCTCGGTTCAGGCAGTGGTCGTGCGCCACAGAGGGGTCTCTCAGGAGCGCATCCAGGATATAAGTTCCTAGCTAGCCGGTGGAGCCGGTAAGGATCACAGTGTGCTTTACGGGGCTTGTGGTGTTGGCAGTGTGTATGGTAGCAGGATTGGGTCGTTCGATGTGACTGATAAATGTTTGCAGCAGTTCGTCCCGTTCCTGAAGAAGACCTTGTTGATGGGTTTCTGTAGACTGTTTACCCTGCATGTCCAGCTGTTGAACTGCTTGGGTAAGCTCCGTTATCGAGGGGTGCAAATATATCAAGTTAGGCGTGAGAGTTGGTAGAAGGAGACCTTGCTTGAGCACACGCGTCATCGTTATTGCCTGCAACGAGTCCATTCCTAAAGTGAACAAACTTTCTGTATCGGATACATTCTCCGCACTCCAACCCGTAATGGCCAGGAGAGACGCGCGGATGAACGCAGCAACCTTGACGATATCGTCAACGGCCCCGGGACCGGGTATTTCGCCAGCGTCATGCTGGGCCAGCTTCTCGGCGTCCGCGTAGAGGGCGTCGAGCTCTGATGCGTACATTGCCAAAGTACCTGCGCGTTGTACGGTGCCCTTTCCGGCACGCAGCATGGGCTTCTCCGGAGTGGTGAAAAGAATGTGGCTTTTGCGATACGAGCATGGGCTGGACACTCCTTGTTTGCCTGCTGTATGCTGGGCCAGAGGTCTTTCGATGGCAGCGGCTCGGTCGCTGGTGCTCAGTCCTGCTTCGCAGCGGCCCAGTTCAACGATGAGATCGGCTTGAAAGCGTTGCGCGCCGGCAACCAGAGCCCCTGTCACCTCAGGATTAGAGGCGAGTATATGTCCCTCCATGGAGACGGGATTTGTCTTTTCGCCGTTGAGAAAGACAATCACATCATCCAACCTTGCAGACGGCCGCCAGAGGTCTGACTTGGCGGGATCCGGGTGGCGCACCATCAGGTCGTTGGTATGATACTCCTGTCGGTCGGGGAAGATTGCAAAGGGAAACTGGTGACCTTCGCGCTCTGGAGTGCGCACCATCACCGCCTCATACTCGTCCCCGGACACATGCCGGAATTCAACTCCCAGCTGTGGATGGAAGTGAAGATAGCGCCAGTCTTTGAGAGGATCCCATTTACCCGTGGCGTGGACCACATTCAGGATTCCCAGCTCGGCAGCGCCATAGCCGTTCACAATTCTCACCTTACGGGCTACTATGTCCCCGACAGGCTGGGGCAGATCCCCGCCACAATACATCATGTACTCTAGATGATTGCCGCAGTACTCTAGCAGATCAGCCGATTGGGACAATTCCAATACGATTGATGGGACAACAATTGCCCAGTCAAACGGGGTCTGCTTCCTAGCCGCTACCATCCCGGTCGCGCTGGGAAGACCGGCAGCAGTAGGCATTATCAGGGTGATATCAACAGGCATGGTAATAAAAAGAATATGCCCTAGTCCAGCGGCCTAAAGTCGCAGTAAGCAGTTGCAGTGCGCTGTAATTGTGGAAATCTTACAGGTAAAGGAGGCAAAGAGAGATACATGCGCTTGCTGAACCCCCAGCTGTCCTGGCCTTCGCAGCCAGCGGGTATATCGAGTCTTTGCATATGCATATGCTTCACGGCACTGTCATGGGTCCAGATGATGGGCTTAGGAATACCCGTTGACCCCGATGTGTGGAGGATGACCAGTCGATCATGTGCTGCCCCAGGATATGTTTTGTGGTAAGGAAAGACCGAATACTCGGTGGCGAGTAGTTCCGCCATACTAGGAACATCCACAACCTTCACTGAGTGGGCGTCGACAATTCTCGCGATGAATGGCGGCCGTGGTGAAGGGGCCAGGAGCGTCGCACACCCTAGTTTAATGGAAAGCGACTGATGGGCCACTGCACTGTTGGGCGGCGACGCGAAAAACATCTGTTAATATACCCATGCCAGCAGGTTTCCCCAAAAACCGCACTACGTAAATGGGCCATCCTACACAGTATCCAGCCTTGACTGCGACCAATACTAATGCCGGGTATCGCAAGTCATTCCGTCCAAGATAGGCCAAAACTTCTCCTGTTCCAGGGCCCAGGGTCTTTGTCAGCCACGCAGCGACACCATTGATAGCGTTGGCCAAAGCTTTGTAGGTGATTGGCGTGTAGCCTTCCTCATAAGTCATGGGGTTCACCGGGTATTCTGCATAGATGGCTTCTGGTTTGACCTGGGCATAGTGGTCAATGATGTTGGGAAGTAGCTCTGAGCGCGGATCATAGCCGGAAGAGGGAGTCCAAGTAGTCATGATAGGCAGCGAAGTAGTGGTCAAAGAAGAGAAAAGGGAACTTGAAATTTCGATGATGGCGATGATGATGTTGCTGATAACGATGTTGCTCCAGACCAACTAGGGGAGGAACTTGTCTTTATAAGGCCAAATGCCAAAAAAGAAGGTGAAAGTATGAAATTAAAGGTGGCACAGGAAAGGTGGTGAAGGAAACAGGGAGGAAGTTAGGGGAAAGATGGGGCTGGATTGGCGGCGTTGCTGGAGTTGGCGAAGCAAGAGGGTCAGGGAATTTCCGTGATCTCTCAGTGGCCCTTGTATGTATGGGAATGACCAATGACCAAAAAAACATACAGGGGTCTTCTTTGTCCCAACCAACAGTCCCGACCATCAACATGAATTACCTGCTAATCCAACTCACTTGGCATATGTAGATACCCTAGCTAGCTGGGGCTATCCTTGCCATTGGCCAAGCTCATTCAATCAAGACAAGGTGAACCTAGGTCTATAACAATAGCATCCCGGGAATATCAGACAGCAGCGAGGTACGAAATGGCTAGGCCCATTTGGTTATCTATTCACTATCACTTCGACACTCAGCGAATCCAAGCGTCTGTACCCTTCTTATCGCCACTAGGTGTAGCATGCGAGTGACTCTCACATGGGGGGCGATACGAAAGAAATTAGACTGCGATTCGAGGAGTCCCCGACTAAAGACACACCATAGTACCAGTTTGGCGGCTGGCTAAGCGCAAATAGTCGCAAGACTGTTTTTATAAGCCTGGGTGCGATGGTGGATGACAGAATCCTCGCGGAGACTGAAGGCTCCTTCGACAGCGTGACGACGAAATACGGCCCTATTGCCTCTATGACCCGAAACCAGTTCTTCGCCCTGTTGGCTCATTATTGCAATCCGCATCAAGAGGTCTGGGATGCCGACGCTGCCCAGCTGGCATTCGGTAGTTCCCTCTCAATAAGGGACAACAGAGACAATGCTATGTTTCTCAGTCAACCCCTTCTTCGTCGATTGATGCTTGAAGTTCCGTCATCAGCTACAGCAGCAGGGCAGGATTCCAGTGGTCATTTTCACCACAGAAAAATGTTTCTAGAGTCGAAGACTCTCGATGAAGGACGCGAGATTGTCAGGAAGGCCCTATTGGACAAGATGACTCGCTCGTTTCGGCTGATTCCCGAGGATGGGGAAGCAGATGTTGATGCCCCCTTGCATACCTATCGGGTCGAGTCGCTGCTGGCAGTGGAGCTGTGTAACTGGATTTCTAGGGAGTTTCAGGCCGATGTTACGGTCATGGAAGTTATGGGTGGTGCTACCGTGGCTATGATGGGTATGATGGTGGCTGGACGGAGTAAACTTGCTCATCCTCAGTGGTTGTAGATCTCCCTGCTGTCCGGAGAAAGTACATGCCTGGAAATTGCAGCAGGGGAATTGGCAAGTTTGGGCTACTCGTGGCCTCCTTAGATCTATTGGTCGCCCCAGGTGCAGGTAAAACGTTATGCCAGCCTTGCAGGATTCAGGAGCAAAGCCTGATAGGGTGGACTACAGAAACCCCTTGTCCAGGTTATCATTGACCCCGCTTCTAGCTCACTTTCGGTTTTCTGGTACTACGCGCTGTACGCTAAATATAGGCAACGGCGGCTATACAGAGTATCTCATTGCTGCTCCAGGAGAATGTTCCCTGCGGGTAGCACTCTTGGCCGAAGGGTATGGGCATTCATAAAATGGCTGGTCTATAAGGTTTCCCCTTTTTTGAACCCCATACTCTTCTTTGAGTACAATTGCTCATCAATGTATACAATAAACTTGCTTCGAGAGTACAGCTGCATCAAATAGAAGATGAACAGCACAGCCGCCTACAACACATCGATACAGTCACGAACACAACTGGTGGGCTGGACAACAGAGCCCTCTGGTCGGGGCACACTCAGCTTAATCACCAGCTGCCTGACGACCATTTTCTTGTGCACTTGGGTTGTGATCCATCCGCGTGTATATAAAAACCAAGTATATGCGACGCTACACAAATTTGCCCTTTTCCTAAAGGCCATCATTGCGCCCGAATTTATTGCGGTTGAGGGCTTGCAAGAATGGGCACAATGCCGACGGATGCAAATTGAGTGTGCCCGATTCACCAACGGTGAATTCCAGGCTATCCACGCATTCTACATCAGCATGCTCGCTCTGCGATACCGCACGTCGAAAGGAGACCGTGTCATTTGGCCCAATCAATACACGTGGCTGTTGGAACAGAACCTAGTCGACTGGGAGGACCATGCCAGTTGGGGTCTCTTGGAGGACGATATACGCGACAAAAGCAAGGCAGACAGTTTCGCCAAGTTGGCAGCTATGGTGCAGGTCACCTGGTTTGTCACTCAATGCATCACCAGAGGCATACACAATCTCCCCCTTTCTCAGTTAGAAGCTATGACTCTAGGATATATCCCGCTGTTTATCGTCACATACTTCTTCTGGTGGGATAAGCCGAAAGATATCCGTTCCCCGTCTATTGTCAAGTTACCTGAAATGAGTACTGAACAAAGGGAAACGTTTGAAAGCATGGCGGTTAGCGACAAATTTGACAACGAGGGCCTGAAGGTACAAATGACATATTGGAACACGTGGTATTTGACACCACGAGTATTCGAGAAAGAGGAAGAAGACAGACGGAAGCAATACGCCCAGGAGCTAGCTAGCCGTACCGCCAGGGACACCGACTTGCACGACGATGAAGCACCAAGTACCCGCAGGATGCTCTTGAACTCGAAGGAAGAGGAGATACACATGAAGAACGAGGTTGTAGTGGCACACTGGGACCCACAGCTGTACCGATCGAGGATATGGCCGCTCACCTGCCTGTTCGGAATTTCTTTCGGGGCCCTTCACTTAGCCTGCTGGGATACCGTATTTCCAACAGTGACCGAGGACTGGCTGTGGCGAGCATCTGCCTTGGTGTCCATGTTATCAATGCTGGTGTTTATGCATTTTGAAAAGGTAGTCGTTCGGTGGGGTGGCCCGTTGACCATGATCAGCCTTGCGTCCCCGGTCCTCTACATTGCTAGTCGCATTGTGATGATGGGTGAGGTTTTCGCCGCGCTAAGAGCAGAGCAACCAGCTATGTATAAGACCTACGACCTCTCCGATAGTTGGGTGCATTTCTTTGAATCATGAAGCTTGTCTAAATGAGTCCCATGATGAAGTTGGGACTTGATGCCGTATAGCAGAACAGTGGGTATGCTGGGGTGGGTGAGGTGAGACGCAGGGGGCAGGAGAGGACTCTTGTCTACTTCATATATCTATTTCTATATGATCCGAGTAACGAACAATGAGGCCGATATCTAGTCATAAGCTTGTCTCTTGTTAAAGAGCACGAGTCAATCCACATTATAAATCTTGCATTGCGTCTTTCCACAGCTATCTAGTTTCCGTGCAGCAGACCCTTGGAGGCCGGGTTTGCCGATTCAAAAGCCCGCATAACGGCCATGGTAATTACCGGATACCCCATAATAACATCATGCAAGCCCGTTTTCAGGATCTGCTCCCGGATGATACCGTTGTCGGTCTTCCATTCCACGACAGTACCAGCAGCACCAAGGTCTATTTTGGTGTCTAGTTTCTTAAGCTCTAGCTCATCGTAGGTGATTCCTCCGGGTATAGATCCTCGGACGGCATGCCAGAATACGGCTTGGCTGTGGTGCGAGGGGATGTCGTAGTCGTCTTCCGCATGGATGATGGTAAGATGGTATCTTTCCCCGTTCACCTCGTTGGCCCGTACGTACTCGGCAATGCGATCCTTGCTCAGCCACTTGTCCCTAATAAAGCGCTGCAGAGATTCGAAGAGCCATGGGAAGCGCGCAAGTGGGGACAGAATTGGAATGGTGCCCGCCACACGGTATGTCGAAACCAACGTCGCAACATCAACAAACGGAGCCACCAGTACGGTGCCAGCAAAGACCACGGGCGGAGATTGGACGGCCAGGTCGCGGGTGATGGCAAGGCTGACGGCAGTCCCCATGGACTGACCGAAGATGAGAATACGAGAAGGGGGAATGCCAGCGACCGTCATGGCCCAGTCGACCACCGCACGGGCGTCGGTGATCAGGCCCGCCTCCGAGGGTTGACCAGTACTCCGCCCAAACCCCCGATAATCAAAAGTGAGAACATGGATCTTCTCTGGCTGGCCAGCGGACAGCGCCCGGTAGTTAGGAACGCGATAGCCCGAACCCACCGTGCCCCCGGCACCATGCATGTGCAAGATCAGGCGAGCGTCAGGATCGTCGCGCAAAAGCTGGAAGGAGAGCCGGGAGGTGATGTCGGGGACCAATCCCGCGGGCTCCGCAACCAGGGATTGTTCGTGTTGACGGTACAGTTCCACGGGCAGGATGTGCCAGGCGTAAAGCTGCTCTCCATCGGGAGTCCGGATCGCAAAAGGGGTGACTTGATTGCGTAGAAAGCCAAACGTTTCGGGGACATTAAGATCCTTAAACCATGTCATTTCGATGGCATGCAGATACACCACGTGGGATTGGAATGTTTGCGTTGTCAGTAGGCCCAACAGCGTCGCGTATAAGCCGACCGCGATGGCGGCCGAAAAAGAGGCATACTTGAGAAGAGGCGCCAGAAGGTCACTGGCCGCCATGTTGAAGCTGTTTTCTATCTCAGCGCCCGGGTGGCTGATAGATAGATTGTAGGATGGGTGCAAAGATCTGGGGAAGTCGGGGAAGAGGGGTTTTGAGAGATCATAAATAGTAACAACAAACAAACAGCCTTGTGCCTGCCGGGCGGCTATTGCGACCGTCTGGTTGGCTGCGCTGCGGTCCCTGTGCCATCCTGTGCCATCCGGAAATCCCCGGGGTGGCTGCAATTTAGATAGCTGGTATGAAAGATTTAGTGCCGCGATTACTCATGAATATAGTCCTGTGAAAGAGATCATGGTTGATCATGAGTACTCTCTCTCCTTCGTCCGGTAAGACATGGGATCAAAGGGCAAGAAAAGCCTACGGAACATAGGACTGGCATCCGGCAATGCCTTGTGGATGCCTCAGGCATCAATAAGGACTGCGCCCCAAGACAGTCGGGTAAGATAGCCGGCACCACAAGCGACGTAGCAGTGGTAGCACATTATGTCTGCAGTATTTGATTGTCATGGGATATTAGATCTCGGTTCTTCACATTCTGGACAGGCACCAGTACTACGAATCAGTGGTAGCCAACCGCTCACTTTCTTTTGGCTATCCTACAGCCAACTACTAAGTACTAGAAGCAACGAACTTTATACTATATAAATAGTTACACTGATTACTTAGATTATTAGTGGTACTTAGAAGTACTACCTCTCGCTGTCCCCGCTGCAATTCCCAATGGGGTACCACCATATTTAGGGGAATTATTTCCACTTTTGTATCAAAGCTTGTTCATAGCCACTTATCATCCGGATTATTCAATCGGAGCTAATATACCTTGATTTTCTCGTATATCCATTCCATCCTTCTAGCCTCTCGGGCCCCCGATGAGACCGATAAGCCGAAGACCGAACACATGAGCAGCCCCTCTAGTTCATTCGACCACTATATATCTAACCGGTGAGCATGTAGTAAGCCGTATCTTTTAGCTTCCCCATCATACTCTGATGTCTTACCAGTATAAGGCTTCTTCCGTTCTTTCTTCATCACAGCTTGTCACCATGTCTCGTCGCACTGTTGTTGTCATCGGCGCCACGGGCTCACAGGTCCGTTGCATCCTTAGCTTTTGCTCAATAGTGCAGTATATTTCTTCTGGATGCTGATACGTATGCAGGGAGGTCCTGTCGCTAGGGAGCTCTTGAAAAGCCCGCATCTGTACCATGTCAGGGCTTTGACGCGCGATCCGAGCAAGCCAGCAGCACAAGAGCTGGCAGAACTTGGGGCAGAAGTTCAGGCGTTTGATCTAAATGCCGGCATCGACGCCCTGCTTCGGGCGTTTACGGGCGCTGATGCCATATTTGCTATGACAGACTTTTGGGCAACACGCTCAGCCAAGGCAGAAGCTACCCAGGGCCGAACCATTGTAGACGCCGCAGCTCTTACCTCAACCATTGAGCATTTCATCTGGAGCTCACTACCAGATCCAGAAAAGGTTTCCGGGGGCATGTTGAAAAATATTCACCACTGGAAGAGCAAGAGTCTAGTTGCAGACTACATACAGCAGCAGTATCCAGAGTTGTGGGGCAAGACTACCGTTGTGCTCTTTCCCAACTATTTTGAGAACTGTCTGTCTCATCCCGAGCGCTACCTCTCCCAGCCCGTTGGTCTACCTTGTTACTCAACTACCACATATTTGATACTTGACAGACAGTCTAACCAGGTGATTCTAGGATGCGCAAGGCGTGCACCATATGTACTTGCCACACAGCCCGTCCACTGTCATGCCGAACGGATCGATTCGCGATACAGGCAAGCTTGTTCGACTATTCCTGGAAGATGGGGCCGCCTACTTCACAAAGACCGTGGCTTTCTATAGTGAAGCCATTTCGGAGGCAGAGAAGCAAGCCATGATTGGCAAAAGTAACTATACCTACTCACATTTTCTATCTGGCGTTACATGATCTGTTGGACTTACGGAGAATATTTCAGAGTATGGGTTGCAGACAGTGTACCATGTGATAAGTCCCGATGAGCATCAAAAGAAGCTGGAGAGTCAAGGTCTATCTCCTGAGATTGCTCGGGATTATACTGAGCAGCTCTTGATGTTTGAGAAGTTTGGAAATGTGTGTGATGCATCAGGATTTATCCAGGCAAATGAGGTACGTAAACTCTCTATAATAAAACTGATCGATTCACCGGAACTAATCGACACAACGCAGATTCCAGGTCTTCGCCTTCAGTCGTGGGCGGAGTTCCTAGAAGAGAACACATTCTTGCAAACATGAAGGCTGTCTGATGAATCCCAGCATATACTGCAACCATGGTGAGGTCGATGTGTCTGGGATATAAATGTCAAAGAGCCCTTCCACGAATTTGATACATTTATATGTCCCAAATGATATATTTCCTGCCCATCCCCTCTCTGCCTGAGGCAATGGCGAAGGAATATTTATCCGAGGCACCTGATCGGGGGTGGGACAGAGGCCCTATTTTGTTGTCAGCCTATTCAATGACTTAAAGCGTTCTTAATGAACTGATCGTTATGCGTCCTCTATTTATGGATGTATCAGCAGAAGCAGTAGACTTTATGAATTTAGCGGAACGGACATTTTTTCTAAAGGTGAACCATACCCAGCCGGATACCAAAGCAAGCCTTACCGATAAGCCTTGAGAGGATCAGCAGAGTACCCACTGGCGATGGACTGACTGGTTATACTTTATACTCGTGTACAGACATGCAAGTAGCACAAAGGTAGATCAACCATCAATCACTGTTACACAGTGCATGGCAATGGACCTTTAGGGGTTCCTTCTGGTCTAAAAGGATCAGAAGTAACATTTTCTTCCGTACCACCTGGATTCCCCGACCGGCTCAGCATTCCATCTCCTGCGGTGTAACTGGCTCCCTATGGATCGCATCGCCATGCTCATCTTCATCTTTCATCATGCCCTAATTTTTCTAGAGTCCTGCATTGTCCCTACACATTTGTCATTCTCAGCGGTGCATCAGGATCCACACATCCACTCTGAGTGGCCTGCCTTTCGGAACACGAGGACTCCAACGCACTGGTCGCCCGCAGATAATGAAAGGTTGGAATACTTGCTGGCCATGATCTGAGGGCGGATCCTTTTCACTTCCATTCGCAGCGTTGCTTACGGTCGAGGCACCTGTGATTTGTCCGTCCGTCTGCCCCTGTGGGGAAGCCACCGCAGCCTGGCACCAACAACCAATGCCTTTAGTGGGAAGGAAAGTGGAACAGGTCAGCGAAGGATGGAGCACTGCCCGATGCCATCTGACCCAACGTTTCAGTGCCCTATAAATCCAACCCCGAAGCCACATGGGATTCAGTGACATCCCAAGCGATATTCATTCACCCATCGTTACACTATGACCACCTTCAAACCCCTCCTCCCACCCCGGGCTGTCCCACGCGACCGTGGCGATGGTCCGACTCCCCTGCCCGACTCCACGAGCTCTTTGTCGCCCATGGTTCGCGACAACCTTACCCTCTCCTCGTGGCTCCTCCTGGGTGGCCTCGTGCAAGGCTGTGCATTTCTACTGCTGGGTTCCCTGTCCCTGCTTCCGACCGCGGCAATCCTCCTCTACAGAACCATCGACCATCTGCTGATGGCCTGCCACCTGACCCCCAACCGGTACCTGGCGGGATCCATCCCTATCAAGCGCAGTGCTCAGTATCCCCGGCCTGATGGCACCTTTGGCAGTGAACCGGCGGGCGAGTCTATCGTGGTCTTCCATTTGGGTGCACGCAACCACCATCCTCTCGGGATGTTCGCTCCAGGCATGAAGGAATTGGGCGACAGCGCCGAAAAGATGCAACGGGACATGCGCGCCAACCCTGTCAAGTACGGTCTGTTGGGCTCCTCGCAATGGCTGAAGTGCGACAGTGCAGCGGGCAATGAGTTCATGACCGTCTTCTACCTCCGCGACTACGCTGCTCTCCATCAGTTCGCGCATGATGAGATCCACATGGAAGGGGTGCGCTGGTGGGCTCGCATCGCCAAGGACCATCCGCATCTGGCCCTTTACCATGAAACCTACCTGGTGCCACGCGGAAACTGGGAGAATATTTACATTAATGGGTGGCCGACGGGTCTGGCCGATACCTGGTTTCCCGTGCAGACTCAGGCCGACAAGGAGAAGAATACCGGAGTGGTTGAGCAATGGGTGCGACCGTTGGTTGATGCGCGTGACGGTGCCTTACGGTCGGCCAGTAAGCGGCTGCAGTTGACACGCTTGGAGGGTCGTGAGAAGGAGCACGATGATATGTATAACCAACCTGAGGGGCTGTGATCGGCAGCTACAAGATTATCAGACTACGCCGGCTCGATCGGGTATAAGAATATGAATTGAATTGAATTGAATCAATACAAGATTATCAGCGCAGGAAATCCATGCACCTCTGCTCTCCACATTTGTGATCTCTTCGATTTAGCCATTTTCTATCGTAATCCCATGATGTGCATTGAATCTGTCTCCCACTGCTTCGCCCGTATCCTTAATCCCCCAGGAAGAAACTAGAGCGGACTAACTTCCTTCGAGCCTGCTGCGGTGGTGTTAGTGGCCGCGCTAGACGGCTGATGTCTGGATGCCAATCAATCACATTCCAGACATTTTGGGTCCGACCACGATCCGCTGGCCTATCCTCTGCTAGCCACGTTAGTTTTTCTAGGCGTGACTCGACCTTTTGGTTCCGCTGGCGTATCGCCAGGACTCTGAAACAGCAAACCCCCGATTGAGCCTCCCCGTCGATAGGAGCATGGACAATCCCAACACACTGGTACCATTCCGTTCGGAATCTATGCGCCGTCGATCCGGTTGCAAGAGATCGAGAACCGGATGTCGCACTTGTCGGTAGGTCTACGAGAACGACCCAGGTTCTCATCGGCTACTACTGACTCAAGGCAGGGCTCGCCGTGTGAAATGTGATGAAACCCCCGGCGCATGCCAGCGATGTACCTCCACCGGTCGCGTTTGCGATGGCTACGAACTGCAGAGGCTTCCCTTGGTGAAAGATTCATGGTCCAAGATCAGCGCTGACTTGGGGAGTGGCTTTCGATGGACCATCACATCCGACGAACGCCGCTGTTTCTCCTACTTCCAACACCATACAGTGCCCACCTTCCGCGAGATGTACGACTCCTCTCTCTGGCAGCACCTAGTGCTGCAGATGGGGCAGTCGGAGCCAGCCGTCTATCATGCGACCGTGGCCCTCAGCGCCATTCACCAAGACGCCGAAGCCCGAGGGATGCCTTTGGCTGCCAACCTGCCCGCGACGTATCAAGGCCCCTGGCTGCGCTTTGCGCAAGAGCAGCTGGGCCGCGCCTTTCAGACCCTCACGAGGCGCCGGGCCTCACCCGATCCCCGATTGCGCAACGTAACCTTGCTCTGCTGTCTGCTCTTCGTCCTGTGTGACCTGCTTCAGGGGCACTACGATGATGCCTTTACCCATCTTCAAAGTGGCCTGCGCATCCTCCGCGAGCTGCAGGCAGAGCGAGAATTGGTAGCGCCCACACCCCGGCAGGGGCGAGTTGAACGGTGTCTGGTCGCGGCCTTTGCGCAACTCGACATCATTTCCGCCCACTATGGAGTCGGAGGGCCTCTGTTATGCATCGATTCCCTGCCCGGAGAGTGGCAGTTGGCACCGACTTCGGCGGCCCCCTTTGCTACCCTGGACGATGCCTGCGCTGCCTTCAACCTTGTCACGAGTGCTGCGTTTCGTTTGGAGAACTCATGTATGGGGATGTCGGAGCAGGAAATCGCGCGCAACTACGACACCATTCAGTCAAACCGGCTCCTGGCCCGCTCTCTCGCATCACGTTTCTGGCAATCGTTCGAGCCATTTTACCGGACCTCTTACCATTTCCTGGATCGTAAAGAGCAGAGGAGTGCCGAACTTCTTCACCTCCAATACCTCGGCATTATGGTGTCTCTGGAAGTAAACACGCAGGGACACAACGAAGCCGTCATGGCTTCCTTCACACCAGACCTGGAGGAGATCGTCTCTTTTGCCGAGTCAATTATGGACCGGTTCCCTGAGCGTCCTACCGTCAGTATCAACCTGGGCGTCGTTCAACCATTGTACATTGGGGCCATTGCCTCTCGCGATTATCGCATCCGATGGCGAGCCATTAAACTGCTGCGTGCGTGGCCGCATCGCGAGGGGCCATTCGACTCGAATTGGATCCTCGCACTGGCCGAGGAGACGCTGCGTTTGGAATTGCTGGCTGATCCGGGAGTTAGTGTGCCAGAAGATGCTGATTCGGCTTCGTCTCAAGACGATGAATTTGCGCCTAATCGCATGCTGCAGGACTTGACTCAACGACATTCGCTACTCAAGCAAATGTTGGCCCCAACGGCAGATGATTTGGACGATGGAGCATCCCCAGCAGGCTTGCTAGGCTCGGTCAAATGGGCGGCTGACTGGTCATGCATGCGTGCGTTTAAGGCGAGGTTTTCAGATCACTAAAGCTTGTTCCGATCTAGCGTGATGATGTTGTAACTTACTAGCCTCGACATACACTGTCCTGCACTTGCGATATCTTAGCGGCAAATTCATGCAGTAATCATGACAAAGCTCGTGTCCACAATCAAGCTCGTATCCTGCAGAGTGCTAGAATGAACGGCTGATTCCTTCGCCTCAACACAAGCACTAGCCCATGACTCAGGAAGCTATTCTGCAGAAGCTAAACTGGCTTAGGCTCTTCTAGTCTTGATTCAGACTACCGTCGCTAACTAGTAGCTGAAGAAAATCCAGTTGGGTGGGTATGAGGCTAAAGGCTAGGGTCCTTGGCTCCTCCACTTCGGCTTCCTTTCATCCAGCTCGGATTGTGATGACGCGTCCTGGATGGCTGCCAGCCTAGCATCATCGCGGTTGTTCATGGCTTCGGAAGAAGTATTGCCCACTGGGTCTCTGCTACCGGTGAAGAATCGTCTATATAGAGACATCGCATGCCCAACAAACTCCTCCATAATCGCTCAGAAATACCATTAGCAAAAATGAAGGCATCATTCACAACTACTATCCTCTCTAGCCTTGCTGCTATCGGCAGCGTAGCTGCTAACCCTCTGCGTCCGCTAGGGGACCTGGTCAAGCGCAATCCCGACGGCAACTTCACCCTCTACGCCTATGGACTTACCTCCGAACCCGTCAAGTTATTCTACGCAGATGGTAAGACCACCCCTCACCATACCACTATCATTGATACTGACTGAACCAGGACTTGCCTACTTCGGCACCGCCTCCGACTGGACCTACGGCTCCGTCGTGACCGACATCACCAGTTAGTCCCCCCTTCCTTACCCCCTCAAGACCCATGGCAGCACTAATCCCACACAGTGACCTACAGCAACGACGAAGTCTTCGCCGAAGCTCTCACCGAGGGCGTGACCCTCCCTGATGATACTCTGCTGTACATCCGCCCCAACGCGGACGAGGTCACCGAGGTTGGCTTCACGGGCGATGACACCCCCTCGGATGCCGTAACTGATCAATGGATCTGGTATGGGGGCTGGATCATGTATGAGTCCGACTCTGGGGAGCTGTTTGATACGTTCTATGTCAAGGATACCAATGTCTCGACGGTGTGGCAGCTGTATTGGGTGCCTGAGGGGGTGTCGAGCAGTGGTTATACATCTGCGAATGTGCGGGATGTTGCTTGATGTCCCTTTGCTGCACAGTGATTGGCAATGAGTGGGGGATGGGATGCTTATTACTGAATGACAGTGCAATTGCGAATAATGATGGTATGTACTATTGTGAGGGGTTCCTTTGGATAGTCCGAAGCAGAGGTTATTATGCTCATCCAGTATGAAATCTAAACTCTTGCCCACTTCTAGTTTATGTATCTTGATCAGTAAAGCATGCAATAATAATAGCATAATCATGACATTCTATATCCAGAACTCCGTACGTACCCAAAGCAAATCTATAAGAACATCACAATCTAGAAACATGCCAATTCTAACCACTATTCACTCCTCAGCTCCGTCAATCTCTTGCCAAAGTACCTCTCCACCTTCTTATTCTCTCCCCCAACACTACCCGCCATCCCCCTCATCCTCTCCTTAATAGCACCATATCCCTGCCCAGAAACAATCATCCCCAACGCCTCCAAAATCAACTTCTCCACGCCCTGAATCTTCTCCTTCTCAATACACTCGGTATCATGCTCCAGCCGCATCAAAATAGTCCGATCAGAAATCGCACAAAACTCCACCAACAGCGCAAACTTCGACCCCTTCGTATACGTAACCAACGGATCGAGTCCCTCAACCGGCAACTTCGGCGACGACCGATCATCATGGAAAGTAACCATGACATCCAACAAGGGATGGTTCGGGAAATCAGTCATCTCGGCAGCACCCACCGCCTCAAGCAGCTGGTTCCATGGAATCGCATGCGCAATGGCCGACTGGCTGGACCGTTGGACGGCACGAACGAACGACTTGGTCGATGCGGCGGTCGGATCCCGCGACGCCGAGAACTGAATACGAATGGGGATGGGTTCTAGAAACAATCCGACCGTGTCGAGATCGTCCTGTCCGCGGTTGAAGTATGGTCCGCCCAGGACAACGTCCGTGTCGTCGCGATGGTACTGTAGGGCTAGTGCCACCGAGGCTAGTGCTAGCTGGTGCAGCGTGACGCTGTTTGTCTCGGTGTATTGAATGGCCTGGGTGGCGAGACTCTGGTTCAGTCGCACGAGGTGTGTCTGGCCGCCGTAGTTGGAGCGGTGGGTCAGGTTGGGGATGCTGTATAGGGCTTCCCGCTGGGCGGTGGTGTCGCCGAGGTATTGCGCCCACCAGTCGCGCTCGTTGGCGGTCGCTTGGGTGCTCCATTGCGTTGTCTCGTGGTAGTTGTGCTTCACGGGGCCGAGGCCATCGCCGCGGTACAGACGGACCACTTCGCCCAGAATGACCTGTAGGGTGGTGAGGTCGGCGATGAGATGGCTCATGGCGACGAGCATCATGGACTTGGAGACGATCACTCGGATCGGGTGCTGGCGATCAGGGTGGAAGGGTCTGTTGGCTTCGCGCCAGAGGTTGAAGCCGTGGACGCGCATGACCTGCGGACAGTAGCGAGCGTAGGTGCGTCGGGGTCCCTTGCCGCGGTAGTCGAGGTGGGAGCGACTGCGGAAGATGTCGTGGCGGGCGAGCACGGCGTTCCAGCAGGCGATGAGATGCTCGCTGTCTACCTTGGTGCTATCGATCTTGCAGGCGAAAGTGACATTGAAGGCGGACGTGCCGAGTTGCAGCTGGTACTTTTCCAGCCACTCCCGTTCAATAGGAGACACGCGGTTGCGACCGAGGGGTTTGATGGTGGATGCATCCGGGGAGGAGATCTGCGAGACGAGGCCGTCCACTGTCTGAGCGAGCTCGGAGAGGTTCGCGGCCTGGATGATGCGTGGGACGGGCACCTTGACCCCGAAGGTCTGGGAGACTCTGCTGGCGAGACGCAGCTGCATAACGGAGTGGCCGCCCAGCTCGACGAAGTTGGATTCCGGAGTGAGGGCATCGCTGTCTGAGCCCAACGAGAGGAGATCCTTCCACAACTCGGCAAGGGAGTGCTCCGTCTTGCTGGAGAGGGTACGCTTGGCGGCTGGTTGAGCAACCACTGTACACTGGTTGGCAATCTCCTTGTAGTCGAGCTTGCCGGCAGGCGTCATGGGGAACTTGTCGACGACCATAATGCGACGGGGCATGGCGTGCACCGGCAGCACCTGGGACATACGCTGGCGGACATCGGTGACCTTGAGGGTCTCTGGCTGGATCATGGCAACGAGGTAATCGTCCTTGGGGCAAATAGCGACAGCGGTGGACTCAGGAATAGCATTGGCCACGCGGATTTCCAGATCATTCAGATCAGTGCGGTAGCCACGCAGCTTGATCTGACGATCATTGCGACCGAGACATTCGACCTGACCGAGACGGTTGAAGTAGCCACGGTCTCCAGTGCGGTACATCTTCTCGCCTGGACGTGCAACGATGTTGTCGGGCAGGAACCGCTCCGCGTTCAACTCAGGACGACCGATGTAGCCGTTGGCTACCTGCACACCAGCGCAGTAGATCTCGCCGACCACTCCGGGAGGGAGAAGCTGTCCATTCTGGCCGAGGATGTAGATGCGCGTGGTGGCGTTAGGTCCGCCGATGGTGACGGGCTGGCCGGGAAGTAGACGTTGGATGGTGGCACCGCAGGTGGCTTCGGTAGGGCCGTACATGTTGTAGAGGGTTGTGGTGCTGGACCAGACGTCGTTGACGTACTGTGGAACGGGTTCGCCGACCAAGTAGACAGTACGCAGCTCGGGGAACTGCTCAGGCAGGAGAATCTTGGCCACCGAGGGGGTCAGGATGGCGGCGTTGCTCTTCTTCAGGTGCGCAAAGGTGTCGGCACCATCAGCCAGTACTAGAGTAGCGCCGTAGCAGAGAGCAGAGAAGATCTCGTGGATGCTGCCGTCGAAGGCGGGCGACATGAGCTGCGAGATACGCTGGCCGGGAGCGGCGAAGAGTCGAACCTCGAGGTCTTTCTGGAAGGCTACGAGACCGGCGTGGTGGCACATCACTCCCTTGGGTTTGCCGGTCGAGCCGGAGGTGAAGCACAGATAGGCGCTGTCTTCGGGCTGGGGTGCGGATCGGTGGTGGGGAGTGAAGTTGTCGGGGATAGTGGCGATCAGTTCCTCGACAGAGAAGCACAAGTTGCATGCTTCGGGAGCAAGATGCTTCTGGGACGTGGCAGGCGTGAGGTACAGCTTTCCACCGGCTGTTTGGAAGTTCGTGTTGCGGATGTGGTCGGGAAGGCCAGGGTCCTGGGCAGAGTAGACGCCACCAGCCTTGAGGATGCCGTAGATGGAGACGATCCAGTTGATGGATCGATCGGCCAAGACGCAGACGACCTCGCCAGGTTGAATCTGCAGGTTTGCAGCCAGGATGCTGGCCTGTCGGTCCATCTCGGCGTAAGTCAGCTGAGTGCCAGCCTTTTCCACAGCGATGCCGTTGGGAGTCTCGCGGACAGCGCGCTCGAAGAGCGTGACGAGGTCGTCGTGGATGGAGCACAAGGAGGTCGAGTCAGTCTGGCAGTTGCCCATCTGCATGAGGGTGTTCTTGCAGTTCTCAGTCAGAATGTTCTTCATGCATCCCTCCATGGTCTGCTCAGACAAAAGCAGATTCAGTGCATGATGGAAGTGGTCTGCAAGCATCTGAATGTCCTCACGATGGAACTGTTGTGGCCGGAAGCACAAACGCAGAGTGCCAGTGTATGTGGTGTAGATCGACAGGGGAGTGTCGGGCACAACGCGGAACCATGACTCCTTCACGGGTCGGACTGCGTGACTGTCAGATGCCTGCATTTCGAACTCCATCGCCAGTGCAGAGGTGAAGTTGCGGGTGTATCCGTCATCCGGGACGGAACTCTGTACTGATGCCAGCTGGACTGAGTGGGCAAACACCGCACGGAGATACTCCGCAGTCGCCAAT